TTATTATATCAGCCATATGTTTGACACCCCTCCTCTAAAATATGGTCTGATCCTGTGTCTTTGTCTCTTAAAGAAACCAGGGCCCGAGTACCGTATCCATGTTGATGCAATGTCGGAGGAAGAAGTTGCCCAGGTTGGCAGAGTCACTTGAGTTATCAGACTGCAGAGTGGGAAACGCCTTCAAGATGTGAAAAGCTGTGTCCTCCTGTCCCTGAGTTATCAGGCTCAGACACATGTTCATGGCATCTGCAAGAACAACAACACACACACAATTTGTATAACAGCTCCCAATTTCTTTAAGTCGAGACTTTTGACTAAATTGTATTTCTTTTTATGATTTTACTTTCATAAAACTAAAGTGAGTGCTGTAAAACACGCCACATTAATGTGTACCTGGAACGTAACCCTTCTCATGCCTCAAGCGCTCGACCATCTCTGGGATGTGCTGCTGGTGTTTGGACTTGGCCAGCGTGAAGATGACCTGCATGATGTCCCGGTCCATCAGACTGCAGTCTGCACTCTCTGCCGCCTCCAGAGTCTGAAAGAAAGCAAATTAATAAGGAAGAGAGAGGAGGGGTATAAAACTGAGTAAGCAACCTTGAAAATCTAAAATTCTTCTGATAACTTTTATAAAATTTTGTCTGAAAATCAAAAGTTATATATATAAATTATTTGGCAACCTGACATGTCTGACTTTAAACAGCATTATTACTAGACAGATGAATTATTTATTTTAGACAAAATTACATTTATTATACAGTTAGCAATATAATTATTAGCCAAACCCATTTTTCATATGTTTGTTTTTAACAGATTAATTCCCTGTGCTAGCCGCTCAGATGTAATGGACAATTTAAATCAACAATCCATTTAACAAACTTTATCAGGCTTGGTCTAAGATGACACGTGCTAATACCTGAAAAGTACGGTGGCCTTGAGAGGCCAAACGGACTGCAACTTAAGAAAACACAAGCAATACGAAAAACGCTGCAAAAGGACACAAAACAACGGAAATAGGAAAAAACACAAGGCAAGTGTTTCTGGGGAGACAATTACCCGATGGAACAGTTGCAGGAACCCAAAACATGCTAGGTGTGTTTTATCATGATTCATACAATACTAATGACAGATTTTTAGGCTAATAGTTGGGCTAACACACTTACCTCTCATCTTTTCTTTGCTCACAAAACTGATAGATCCTCCACTTCTTTTAAGTGTCTCCCAGCGCAATTCTTAGCATATTTTGGTTCCTGCAACTGGTCCATCGGGTTATTGTCTCCCCAGAAACACTTTCCTTGTGCTTTTGGAAATCTGTTTCTCCTATTTCTGTTTTGTTTTTTCCTATTTCCGTTGTGTTTTGTGTGCTTTTGCAGCCTTTTTCTTATTGCTGGTGTTTTCTTAAGTTGCAGTCCGTTTGGCCTCTCAGGGCCACCGTAGAAAAGACTCAAAACAGAAGATTTATGAACTTTTTGTTGGTAAAATCCCTTCCTCAACTTACTCACGATATACAACATGGGCAAAAATGCAGTGAGACAGAAAAAAATCATCACATGTGGTTTGCAAATACAATTATATGTTACATTTTTAATTACAATGTCAGTGACACAGTAGCTCATCCAGCTCACAATTCAAAGGTTACTGTAATGTGTGAAGTACATAAATAAAGCAAGAGTAGCAACAGACCATGATCACCCATTAAATAATCCTTATCTGTAAATTAAATTAATGTTGGACCAGAACTGTAGTTGGAGTACTGACTCTTTTGAGTTTTGGATGGACTGTTGGAGACCTCGCATCACACAAGCTCAGCATACCTTCACCAGATAAGCTAAAAAAGTGGCAAGCAGTTCAAAAGCTGCACCCTTAAATACACCTACACCTTCAACCCTTAGGTGGCACTACACACAATTAATGCACACACCTTTTTCATGTTTTCCAGATCGCCCTTCTCAGCATATGCGTTCAACAGTGACACATAAGTGTCGGGACCCGGTTCAATTCCTGCTCCATGCATCACAGACAAGATGTTCTTAGCACTCTCGATGTCACTGTCGAGTAATAAAGATTACAGCTTATTTAAATCCAAATTCCTTCAATTATAGCATTTGTTATGTGATATTAAATTCAGTATGTTAAAAAAATAGATAAATAAAAAAGTACTGACACTTACCCTGCACGAGCATGACCTGTCACCAACGAACTAAACACAGCTTCAGTGATGGGCAAGTCTTTATTCTTCATGAAACCCAATATGGTGCTGAGAAAGCCGAAAAGCATTACATCAACATTAAAATGAGAAGAAGAAAAGCAAGCAACACAACAAGTAATCTAACAGTAAACCCATGAAAAGCACAGTAAACCAAAATACCCAGACACAGAAAAGGCTGCTGAGCTGAATGACAAGTATTTAAAAGAATAAATAAACAAAAGCCACCACACAGAAAAATTTATAATGATTAGCCCTCCTGATCACGATATAACAAGAGGGCTGCCCATGGAAAGCCTTGGCTGCCCCTCCCTCAGCCTGGCTCTGCCAAAGTTTCTTCCCGTTAAAAGGTACTTTTTAACTTCCTACTGTCGCTAAGTGCTTGCTCATAGTGGGCAATCTGATTGTTGGGGAGGATGGATTTTATTAATGTAGGGTCATACCAGGGACTACAGATGACAAAAGTCATATTTACATGATGAATATAAATGCTCATGTTAATTAATATGCACTGTTCCTTTAAAAAAAAAAAAAAACAATAGTGAATGAGTCATTCACTCAGGAAATACACTGAAATTTGTGAGGAGGAGCGTTCGCCTGGCAAGATCAGCGCTCACAAGTCACACTGCAGTCAGTAGAAATAGAGACAATCTCATCAGTAGTACTGGGTTCAATGAAAACATTTCACATGGTGTTATATGATGTGGACTTTTAGGAGTAACCAAAATAGTTTCTTTAAAGACACCTACTCCATTCACCTGAATTGTGAAACTGTTAGTTCATCAAAAGTACCCACAGTGGACAGGCTACTATTAAGAAAAGAACGTTTACCCACCTGGCTCCTTCAATATCTCCATTTTGGCAGTAGGCCGCGATGAGCCTCTGGTAGGTAACCTATGCATAAAATAAAACAAATTAAAACAGCTAGAATTAACAAAATGAAATACTCTCTTCATGTAGCTGATGGGACCAAGAACACAAATCTAACTATGCCATTACAGCACTCTGCACTGCACTACTTACTCTGTTGGGCTGGATATTAGCCGCTTCCATCTTGGCCAGGAAGTCAGTGGGGGAGAATTTGAACTCATTCTGCAGGTAAACCTTCAGCAAAGCATTGTAGTGGCTCACATCATACTGTTCACCTAGCGAAGACAATGTGCAGCCAGGGTAATTAAACATATACAAAATACTCACTACACAACTAGGATTTTGTAGTGCACATCTCTTGTGTGTGCAAGATAAACAAACACTCTACTTAGCGCAGCCCCTTACCCAACTCCTTCAGTTTCTCCCACACACGGTGTGCCAGCTCAGTGCGTTCTTCCAGAGGCACCTCAGGCAGCAGGGACCCACAGCTACGGAGCAGCAACAGGGCCTGGTTACCACTGGGATAGCCTGCAGATGGCAGAGGTGGATGAGGAAGGAGAGAGAAAGCAAAACATTTCATTACTGTCTCTCAAAGAGTTCAAATGGCCGTTAGCAGGCATCTGTTATTAAAGGTCCCTCTGTGATTGCTCATCCTCTTGCCTACCTGCCCTGCAGATATCATGGAAGATGCGCAGAAGCAGGGTCTTGGTAATACGACCGGTCCTCCTCACAGAACTGTCCAGCCTGGTCAGGGCCCAGTCAAACTGCTGTGCTTGCTTGGAGCGCACTGCAATGCTGGCTTCATCCTTTAGCTCGGTGGCCACAGAAAAACTACGCACACACCCCGCTGCATATGACCACACGCGACTGTGAAGATACAGGCCACAGGTATAAATGCAACAGCAGAAAAATAACTAACTCAGTTCTGCTGTGGATGCATATCAGAGAAAAGAAATATTTAATTTCAGAAAGTCTGCCCCACCATCACAGTATGTGTTTACTGCACAACAACAGGCATGTTGTCAAAGACAGTTACACAGCTGTACACAGTGAAAGCCAGACCTGTGACCTTGAAGTGAAGAAAAAGTCCCTCCAAATAGGTCCACGGCTGCTAGTAGCCATCACTTCTATATCAGCTGAGGCCAGTTTTTCTTTCGTGCTCATTAATAATACTATAAATGTTCATTTAAGCTGCAATTTACGCGCATCATCGTGGCTGCTGTGTAACAGTGCACACTGGTCTCCAGTGATAGGCCCAAAAGTCAGCGTGTGTACAGCTGGGAGCAAATTGATGGCAAGAACTGGTTGCTAACAGTTACAGCTTCATTACGAACTAGATTATAGTAACCGGCTTGATTACAGATTAAACAGACAGTGAGTTTACCCTGGTTACACAACAACTCATCATCACCTTGCATAACCTGGTAGCCATGTTTAACCAACGAGAACTGAGCTGTTACCTACGTGATCTATAACGTATCCTAACATGATAACAAAAACCACATTTAATGCAGCAGGTCATATCTGTCAACACTTGCGTGTGCCTTTGGGTGTCATTGAGCCTCAATGACATCTCTGCTGCTGCATGCTCACGCGTGAATCACAGATGCCTGGTACCTGGCCGCGTTTTCAGTAACAGGTCCGATCTGTCGGGCACAAACTCCGGTCCTTCTGCCGCAGAGAGCCCCGCTGTACAGCCGACCAAGCGTCGGTCCGTTTCTTTTAGTGCATGTGATCTGAAGCACACGCGAAGGCGAAAACTTGAGTAACCGGGATGATCTCAAGAGCGCAGCCATGTTTTCTGTCGCAGCGTGGAAGAACATCCGCACCACGTGACTTGCCAAAAGTCCTCGCGAGAGCGGCGCTAGGCGTACGGTGAAAAGAAACGTTCTTTGGGACATGGCTAAAGGCTGGAAAATACATGTATAATAGCATCTCTAACCTATTGTTTATATTCTTTGCCTTGACAGTATGGTTCAGGTCAGTGTTTTATTTTATGGTTTTTATCATACTCGTTTATGGAGAATTTAAAAAATCTATTTTCGCACTGTACGAGGGATGTCAAACTCTACAAACTACATCTTAAGTGGGTGACATTTCTCGTAATGTCGCTGTAAAGTTTAACTACACATTTAATACCTGAGCTTTCTTAATATTAAAAAAAATTAAAATGTATGTCTCAGACATTAAGTGTGATTAAGAAAATGCAGCTGTTGTAGATTAAAGGGCTTAAGCTTTAGGAAATTAAAATTAAGAGAAAAATGTCTGGTTGGTCATTGCCCCGACTATCCTGTAATTATACAACAGAAAATTTCTGTTAGCTTGAAGAAAGTTTCAGATTTTTCTTCACTTTGGATGCACTTTATAAAACTAAAATAACAGGAAGTTCTCTGTCATTTAACTATTACTTGATTACTTTGTTATGGTATGAATGGCCCTGGCGGAGAGCTTTATCAGTAGAAAAAGCTGATAAAGGAAAGATGTCGAAAATTTATGCCCTCTAACATTTTCCAAAGCTCTTTTGGGCCGGATTGGAGTCTTAGCCTGGCCAATTCTGCCCCCCTGGCCTTATGTTTGAGACTCCTGCACTATATAATTTCCTATTTGACGTAAGATATGAAAACATAACAGCCATAATGAAAACTCTAGAACTGTTTGGATTCATTTATAACCATGAAAACCTAAATAATAAATTAACACTTAGATAACAAAACGTATTGCGAACTAATCTGTGCATTCAGAACAATACTAAGAAAACTTGCATGTGTGGGATTTGGATGTGTTTCCCACACTCACTGCATAACAGCTCAAGCTCCCTTGCAGTCTTATGTCAGTTCTTTTGAACTCTATCACCACTGTCCTTTGGAAAAACAAATACACACATGTACAGTTTCACCTCATCACTTATTAATTCAATAGTAAGGTTTTCAAGTACTATAACAGTTCTCCCAAAGCTAGTATGAAATTGTCTGTAATTCTATCCATCTATTCTCTTTCGCTTCTAAAAGTGTATCCCAGCTGCCATAGGGCGAGAGGTATGATCTATAATTAACTGACAAAAAATGTCCAGATGAGGATATTTTTACTGCTCTGAAATCTAAATTACTATTATGACAGAGGATTATACATACAAAAATCTGATATTTTGTCAGTTACGGATAAATCATTCTAAATGTCTTAAATGACCTCTGTCTCCAAAGGTCCTTTTAAAGTAATTCACAAGTTTCAGAAATTGTAGTTTCAAATTTAAGGTGGAAACTTGATCCTTTTGTTACATATCAAATTATATCTTATTTGTATATCACCTAATAACTGTTACAAAATAGTAACACTTGATGTGTTACTGCTGGGATTTCTGACTTTGCCCCTGGAGATGAATAAAGTATCCATCTACGTATGTATTGAAAACTCTTCTATTTCCAGTTTGACTAATATAAAATTCTTATGGCTTATACAGGAAATTTAAACAGATTTTAAATTATTTTTCTCCTCATTAAAATAAATTAATACAAGAAAGATAATCAAAGAAATTAGTGGAATATATCAGCTTTTATTGCCAGTAGGAATTTGACTATATGAGAGAATATGATGCATTTTATTACAACATGAACTTTTGCATCAACACGTTAAACCAAATCTTCTTTAACTTAGTTCTTCAATCAGCTTATCGCTATCTTTTCTCTTCCCTTTCTGTAAATTCTCAACTTCAGTCTTGGCTTTCTGCATGCTGTTCCTTGCAATCTCTCTTTTTCTGTGTTCGCTCCACAGCTCAACTGCCAGTCTATGAATCTGATGTACATTGTCCAGCACCCAGGCTTGAAAGAATTCACACTTCTTGCTTGCCAGGAAGTACTTCCGTCTCTTTTCCACTTCCTCTCCATCTTTAGACAAGGCCATTTTGGCCCGGGAGAGCACAGAACGAAGTTGACTCAAGGCTGCCAGGGAGTATCCAGCAGCATCCTTTCTGTCTCTGCCAGTCATGATGTGAGCCACGGCCTCCATGGCCCTGGCAGGGGCAAGAAGGTCCTCCTTGTCAAGGTAACCTCCATCTAAAATGAGAGCTTCTCCACAGCCTAAGGCCTCTTGGAGAGAGGTGAACACCTTGCTTGAGTTCAGTGCCTCAGACAGAGCAAGAATCATATCACAGAACTCAAACATCAGTGAATCGGTGTCACCGTTAAACAGGCACAGGGTAAAAGCATATCCAAAAAGTGCATTCACTAAACCATAGCAAACCAGAGGAGAAGGATTTGGACATAAGGAACTCAGCTTTGGAATTTTTGAAGAAATTGGGGGTACTGCTGAACTTCCTTTGCCTTTGCTCGTTTCCTTCCCGGTTCCTCCTTTCAAGCTTTTTGGCTTTGATTTGATTCGTTTCTGAACACCTTGTGAGGTTTTCACTCCATTATCAATGTCCTGCTTTTCCATAGTTGTCACAGTTTCTCTTTCCTGTCTGCTTACTTCTTCCTCAAGCACTTCCACCAGTGCTCTGCCTCCCTCCTCATGTTCCTCCCACCATGGCTTCCAAAGGGGAATCAGGCCACCAAGAGCTCCATCCTTCATGAGACTCACAAAACTCTCTTTCTCTTTGTTGTTGAGAAGTTCCCACAGCTCCTCTTCTGAAAGTTTGTCAATCTCCAGCCCTGAGAGCCGATCAGCCAAGTCCAGCTCTCCTTGTGCACTTTCAGCATCCTCATCAGTGTCTCCAGGAATCAGCGCACCTCCTCCAATCTCTTCAAGTTTTCCCAAAATATCCTCAATCTCTGTTGCATTCTCTTCTCCAGACTGCTGAAGCTCTGCTAACCTGGCCAGGAGCTCCACAGCCTGCACTTTCTCAGCTGCCTCTCCTTCCCTATCATCTGTGTCATCTGACACAACACCCGCCTCTTTTAACAAACTCTCCATCCCCCCTTGTGTCATTTCTGCCTTTTGTTTGAGTCCCACAAGAATCTCCTGCATTTTCTTTCTCCCTTCAGTCTCAGTTGTCCCCATTTCCTTCAGCTCCTGTAGAACAGACTCCTTGTAAAACTCTTCAGAGCATGCAGAGTGATCAGGGCTCTTGTAGCACTTCAAGCCACAGTACTGCAGGTTACACCTGGGACAGGTGTAGCAAGGAGGTTTACTTTTACACAACATGCAAAGTCCACTTCTTCCAGAGACACCACCATCCTCTGGAGCATTATCATGGCTCCTGGCAGGTGTAAGAAGCTCATTTCCAGACGTAGCTCCTCTGTGCGGAAGCAGAATGCCATCTCTGGTCACTGTTTCGGACTCCTCATCCCTCCACTCCTCCTTTGGACCGATGTCTGTGAGAAGACTCCTCACGGACGGAGGCAGTCCCCGTCTAATTACTGGATTCATTAGAACTGAACCGACACGCGGTTTTGGAACAAATCAGGAGAGAGCGTTATGGTGCAGGAGCAGTAACCTACAGATATGGAAAAGGCAGGTTAGTTTCGATTAACGACACTTGTTAAAGTGCTACGAACGGAAAATGCATATTTTGCGCAGCGTCCATCATTTATCAGCTTTAAAAATACTTTAAGCATCGCCAGAATGCTTTTATAACCTTATAGCCGTTTCTTTTTTAATGATAAATGCTTTACTTACTTCACAGCAATTCGCACTGGCATTTGTTTTCCCTCTCACGCTGCCACGACGCCTTTTGATGACGTAGAGCTACGCAGTGTTCAGCGCTGCGCTGACGTAAGACTGCAGTTTTTGTGATATTGCATAATAATAATTTGCATAATTACTGGATTGTTTTTATCAGTAAATCTACATTAATAGGATTACAGGGAGGAAAAACTGGGTAATCAATCCAGTTTTAGAAGAAAATCATGTATTAAAGTAGTTTGCATTAAGAAATTTTTTAAAAAGCAAAAATGTTCACATTTACTGAAAAAAAAGATGTAGAGATGCAAATTAATTCAAAAATTCTTATCCATACAACATCTTGAAAAAATAGTATTTATCATACTTTAAAGACATCATAGTATCATATAATCCTACTACAACATTTCGCTCTGGGGCTGATGGCTTCTGGTTCCTAGAGCTTCTGAACGCAGAATGGGAGGCAGAGTCTTATTTTCCCATGGAACCAGCTCTGATTTTGGATTCTGGTGACAGACACCCACTCTGCTTATAAGATTAGGCTTAACACTTTACTTTATGAAAATGCTTATAGTTAGGGCTCTGTCAGGTGACCCTGAACCATCTCTTACTTATGGTGGAATAGGTTTTCCTGCAATGGGACTTTGTGTGATGCAATGAGAATTTCTTCTCGACTCTGATCTTCCTGCTCCACATGTGTTCATACACCACCATGTATCGTTAGATTTTATCTTCTCTTTCCACCATGCCAATACGCTCCTGGCACATGGCTACCTGAGCCTGGACTGTGCAAGGTTTCCTTCTGTTTCTTCTTGTTAAAAGTATGTTTGTCCGTCCCACTGTTGCCATGTGCTGGCTCACAGCAAGTCTGATTGTTGGGGTTTTACTCTTATAGTGTCTTTACTTTACAATTTAAACCGACTTAAGGAGACTGATGTCATATCTGAGACTAACTGAATTTTCCTAACTAGGTGCAGGACACCCTGGGTAGCTTCAGGGGCATTTCCAGTCAGTCAGAGAGGCTAAAGGTGAATCAGAAGATTTTATCCCAAAATAAAAACCAAGCAAAAGCACTTGAAAATTGGTTGTAAGTTCAGTGATATCAATTTTCACAGACCTCCATAAAAGCAGACAGCAAATAAACGAAATGCTTGATGAGCGCCAGCATAACCCTAGGGCCTTCTTTTAGCGCTTCGCTTGGACAGGTTTCCAGTCTATCTAGGGCTAATGCAGAGAGAACCACATGCATTCATATACAGCCAATTTAGAATCACCAGTTAACCTAACATGCATGTCTTTGGACTGTGGATGCATTCACACAGAAACCCCCATCTGACCAAATTATAGTAGGATATGGTTCCTGCTCCTGCCATTAACAACACATTACTTATATGGTTTAAAAATGTGATGACAAAATTAAAGTAAGATTTGATTTCTGTAAAAACAATATACTTTTATAACCAAAATGTATTTTTATGTAATGAAGGTAGGCTAACAGGTTTTAATATCATATATCATTTAGCAAATATGCCGTTTATAGTGAAAACATAATGAGAATATTTATTTAACATTAATGCTGTAAATAATTACTTTGGTCTACACTATGATTTTTCAGTTAATCTTCATATTTTTAATCTCAGATTAAGCAGATAGGATTATTTTAAACTATGCCTTCTATCAGCTCCTCATTTGATCCACTGTTTTAAATAAGTTGTTTTAGACGTTTAGATGTTCTTACTGGCTGCCTGTCCAAAACAGAAGTTTTAAACAGCGGGTGGGCGGAGCTTCAGCCATAAAGCTAGAGATGTGCGATTGAGATTACCATCATTTGCCACTCTTACTGACATCACAACGAGCCAAGTCAGTAAAAACTGATGAAAACATACTGTTGAAAATATCTGAAGCCTGAGCCTGCTTGTACATATGGACTACTGAGCTATTAGAACATTTTCCCAAAAAACTCTTGTAGAAAATGGATTTATGGAAAATAGAAAAAATAGAGAAAAGCATACAGGTACTCTGGCATCTTTCCAATACATGCTGGTTAACTGGTGATTCTAAATTGTCCACAGGTTGTCTGGGGCCCTATTTGTAAGCACTGGGTGGCTTTTTCAGAGCCCCATTTCAAAAAAGGCTATTTTTTATGTGTAATCATAATTGTAAATGGCCTGTATTAAATGGCCTGTATTTGTATAACGCTTTACTAGTCCCTAAGGACCCCAAAGCGCTTTACACAACCAGTCATCCACCCATTCACACACACATTCACAATTACTGCATTTTAATTGATTTGTAAATTGATTTGCATAGATGCGGATGTGAGCTAATGAACGAGTCAGTTAAAAATGACAAGTGAATTAAAAATGTAAATAATTGCCTCCCATTAAACATTGGAAATTAAATGTCCTAATATTTTAATAGGATGTCTCCTTTTTAAGCCTGACTTTTTGTGTGTGTGGCATGCATGTCTGAGTTTGTTGTGTGTGTCTTCCTGACTGCACTGTGTGTCTACATCTCCCGTAGGGCTGTTTGCTATGAGGTGATTGTCTCCTGTAGGGGGGTCAAGCATGGTAAAGGTCATGCAGGTGGGGAGTTGTCAGATGGCTGTCCACCCCTCACTGGGCCAAGGGGCTCTCGTGCCGCCTGTCAAAGCCTGTGGCGAAGCAGGGAGAAGAAAGGGTGTCTGGAGACGACGTGTGCCATGCTGTCTTGGCCCCGCCCCTGGCTGCCGTGCCAGCAGTTCTAGGTAGGCAGCTGCCTCCTCTTATCTCGCTTTTGCTTCTGTCTTATTCCCTGTGACATGTGTAGTACCCCAACACAAAAGCTCCATGACTTACTCACTGACTACTACACTGATGACAAGAAGTAATGCAGATTCTTATCCATGTTAGGGAGGCTTTCAGACCAGGCCCATTTTCTTTCTGAGACTCCTTTAAAAAAACAACAACTTTATTTTCCATTTATTAGTACAGTATAGAAAAGACATAAATAGTGTTTATGATGGTTCTATGGTTAGGGTCATAATAACCACAGGACTTCCCAGCGAAATGTTGTGTATTGCCTAGACTAATGGCTCCTGGCATAGATACAATCTTATAATTCTCAAATGATAATAATACTACCTAAAATACCCCCATTATTCATTACACATGTGCCATTTATGTGCCAACAAGGTGGAAGATTTTCTATACCGATTTAAATTGAACGCGGGAGAAAGTATATTATAACAGAAGCATTATAAGAGGAGAAAGGACTTTGAATTAAGTAGATCAGCATCCCATGGCACTAGCTAATATTATGTGGGTCAAATATGGACTAAATACCACAACATGCCTGACATTGGGGCAATATAATGTTAACTTATTGCTGAAATGAGGTAGCCAGAGTCATCTTGAGTCAAAGACAACTGTAAATACAGTCCATGGTATCTATCCTCTTATACCATGGTCTACAGACTGCAGGAAACTCTGAATTGTCCTCATAAAGATAGATGTACACACACACACACACACACACACACACACACACACACACACACACACACACACACACACACACACCCTGTTGTCTGCCACCAGCTGATAGGTGACAGGGAGCAGGCTCTGCCTTTTGGGCATGTCCAGCCCTGGAATGTCTGAAGCTGTCTACTGTACAG